AATGTGAGGGCCCCCGAAGGGGTCAGTACTCCATAGAAAGTACTAGTGACAAGCAGGCTATATGAGGAATAACTAATGTTTCAGACACGAGACCCAAAAATAGGATGATACATATATTTATAGGTGTAACCATTGTTACCCCATCCCTAAGATAATACATACTGTATATACTTGTAAAATACTTGACCCGTAGGTCATTTTCTCACAAAAAGTCTTTTAGAGATAAGGTACTTACCCAACCTTTCCCCTTTCATTCCTGAATGCCTAGCTCACAAGCTACATTCTACCTTCATAATATCCTACCGAGTTTCAGGGGTGTTTACCGTCCCGGGGATACTCAACCCCAACCGAGTTTTAGGATCATTTACCGTCCCGAGGATACTCAACCTCAACCGAGTTTTAGGATTGTTTACCGTCCTGAGGATACTCAACCTCAACCGAGTTTTAGGATTGTTTACCGTCCTGAGGATACTCAACCTCAACCGAGTTTTAGGATCATTTACCGTCCTGAGGATACTCAACCTCAACCTTATTCCTTACCAACCCTAACCTGGATATGGCTAACCTTTCATTCACTTAACTATGGACAATACCTAGTCATATATATAGTCATATAATAATCCTCAATGAACAACGTGGGCGGGTCCCACCCGAACGACCCTCGTTATATTCGTTCAATACTGACTATTGGGTGTAAAACCAAATACTCGGTCGAGTACCTACCTGTACTCAGTCGAGTATAGGAGGCAGGAGCCTCCCAGGGCTATTTTCCATTAATACCCGGTCGGGTATTTGCCAATACCCGGTCGGGTATAATAGTTGACTCGGCGGTCAACGCCCGTTTGACCGCCCAAACGGAGTCCGATTAACGTGAAATTTTACATGCATGTACTCCTTGAAGTCCTTGTTCCAAAAATACCTATTTTGGTCCTTGGAACATCATACATATCAATTTATAATCATTTCACTAATCAAACCTACATTTCATGCTTTCCAACCTTGTTATAGTTCTTAACATAACATAACACATGCTTTAATACCATTAATCAATTCATAAACATATTCTTGATTGATTTAGGTAATCTCATGCCTCACGCAAAAGTTATAAAGCATATAGCCGTCTTCTCACCTTAATGAAGCTTATGGAGTTCTAGCCCTTCCGATTGAGCTCCGGTGAAACTCCTGTGAACTACAACGAACTCCGGCGACAACTCCGGCGACCCTTTTTACTCCGTGAAAGTTCTTGAAATACCTTATACAAGTTAATAACAAGGTTTTATCATCATAAACCCATATCAACATAAATAACCTCTAAAAGGTTATTTTTCCGGCAAACCGTCAACTTTGTTCTCCAAGTTCATTTTGGATATGAACCAACCTTCCAACCCCTCATTATTCACATATAACATGTATAATGATCCTAGGGGTATGGGATATGATTATATAATCATGTGGGAAGATTAAAGAAAAGGAATGGGATTAATGGAGTTATTACCTTGTTAATCCTCAAGTTTTCCTCCTTCTTTCTCTTCTCTTTTCCCTCTTTCTTCTTCCTTAGCTTTGGTTCGAATGGAGATGGTGGAAATGATAATTTGCAGAGCTTCTCTCTCAAAAATGGATGATGGGGTCGTGCATGAATGGGCAAGGGGGGAGGATATGGCCTTATTTTGGCTTAACCCTCAATAATCACACCAACATGGCCCCTCATTGTCCTTTTGATGCTTTACCACTCAAGTCAACCCTTCCCTTCACTCCTCCCATCACTCCAGCCGCCCACCCCCTCTAATTGTCTCATACTCCCTCCGTAACATTTATATCTTCCCACTTTCCCTTTTTGGATGTAACATTCATATCTTCTCATTTCTTAATCTTAGCTTCCAATCATACCCTCAATAATTTTAAAAATAATACACTATTACACCTACTCTTTTTGGATTTATCCTTCATTCCATCACATTATTTCACTATCTTCCCATCATACCCTCAATAATTTATATCCCCTTTCACTATTCTTAATCTACCTACTTTTCAAATGGGAACATATATATGTTACGGAGGGAGTATAATTTTGTGGGGTGGCCCCCACATATGTGGGAGGTCATCCCTTTGTGTCCCCAAGTGTATATTCGGTCCCGAAAGTTGTATTTTCCGGACTGTTTTAACTATATTTCGTTTTATCGGGTAAAATGAAATATCTCTCATTCTTCCAATTATTATTGGCTATAAGAATGAATGTTTATTCCCCAACTTTTAATTTGGTGGTCTCCATAGTTTATTATGGCTTTTTATCTGATATTACTTCGGTACCGATAAATGGGCTTTATATGCATAACTGGACACTCACATAATTTCTATAGCCCAACATGGATATCCGCCATCATACACATATTATCTTGACCCAATGAATATAATATGTGGTCCCGATAATATCGGACGGCCCCCACTTCCAGTGTGGGCCCCCACGTGAATTTTACTATTCACGTAAAAGAAATGATAAAAATTTACAATCACGTAAAATGCGTTTATTCATTTCTCGGGGTTCAATACATAATTTGATAAAGTACAAATACTTGGGGGCGGTGTTACATAGCTAGAGACACATAAACGTACCATATCTCTTGTTTATGATGTAACAATTGAAATTAATACTCCCTCTGTCCCGAAAAAAACTTCCCACTTTCCTTAAATGGATGTCCCAAAATTAACTTCACACTTCAATACTTTCCTTATTTGGCAAATTATCTACATAAAAAAAGTGATAAACAGTGCCAAACAGTGTTTAAACAGTGCAAAACAGTGCCAAACAGTGTTTAAACAGTGCCAAACAGTGTTTAAACAGTGCATTCTACAGTAAAGTCAAATTTATTTCCTAAAAGTGTGTGAAAGTCCAACCGGGAAGTTGTTTTCGGGACAGAGGGAGTAGTTGATACTAATGAATAAAAAGTTAGATCACGTACAATTAAAAATGAATTTGACTTGACATTATTCCCGTCAAGTTAGTATAATCTGAACGTTGCTATGGAAGTACCCATCATGTATATATAGATGGTGTTTGGTAAGATGTAAAATAAAGTATATTTCTCCCTTCATTCCAAATTGTTCTTCCATAGTACAAATGACACACAAATTAAGATAGTGAGTATTGTGTGGTAAAGAATTGTGCATATGAGAGAGAAATGTGTAAGAAATGTTATGAACCACAATTTTGTTACCAAAAAAAAGAAAGTGGAAGTTTTATTGTGATGAACGAAAAAGGAAAGTTGGAAGTTTTATTAGGACGAACGAAAAGAGAAATTTGGAAGTTTTTCCTAATTTACATGCAAAGTGTAGGGATGTAAAAGGTGTAGGCAATGTTTTCCTTTGCTTTTGAAAAGATATTTTGAGTGTTTGCAAAGAATAGATTCAGCTTAAATAAAAGTGATTCTATGGTAAAAGCTGGAAGCACCTTTCATCATGCTTCTATCTTATTTTTTGGGTTTATGGTAAATAAATACAAATTTATTCCATCACTTTTCCCCTAATACCCAACCCTACCCTTCTCAAGCATCTCTGATGTCTGTCTTCTCCGTCTTCTCGAGCATCACCCTGTCACAGCATCCCCTCAATTTCTTTATCTTCTCCGTCTCTGTGTCACACATCCCCATATGCAAAAATTGGGGAATGTTTTTGGAGGACGACTGGAACTGAATAAAATTGTGGAGCTTTTTCGTTCACCCAAAAATAAAACAATTTTCTAGCAGTGAATGATGGGTGCTCTCTCCACAGTAATCAGCCTGAGGAAGAAACGAGTTTGCCGCAGGGAGGGTGCTCTCTCCAGACTATGCCGACTATTTGGGGAAGGGGAAGAATCCAAATTGCATTTGTTCACTATTCGTAGTGCTGCAACCTACTGTAATCGATTTTGTTGTTATAGCAAAGGGTTAGATTTCGTTTTTTGTTGTTGAAATACACATACAAAAGAAATTAGAGTTGTAGAAATTAGGAACCGTGCGTATGAGAATTGAAAGCTTTGTCGCAGGGAGGGTGAGGTTATACGGAATATTACGGTTGTTGTATGAAGGTGACGCCGGTGAGAATGAATAATGAGGGAAGGATAATTTTGTATTTTCAGAATCACTTTTTTACCAAACATTCCAACTTTAACTTTTACACTTTAATCACTTCTACTCTAAAACACTCCCAACTTTTATCATTAATCACTTTCTCAAAAATCTCTTTACAAAATCACTTCTAAAAAAGTTAGGCAATAGCAAACATAGCCTTACACTATTTGACTTGACTATTTAATGTAAACCGCACCGTAGGGGACTTTTTAAAAACATTCCGCACTATAACATGTAAATTATTTTACGTGGTAAAATATTTGTCATTCTTTTTATAAAGCATTGCGACGACTTTGCGCGCAACTTAAAATTAATTATACCAACTGCTATTGGTTTGTTAAGATGGTTAATTCAATTCAACAAATTAATATTTACTGAATTTAATTTTTGCTCATTTTTAAAAACTCGAACATTTTCAAATATTTTTATTTTAATGGAAAATTCTTGAAATATGATTAAAGTGTTTGTGAATCCCAAAATAAGATTTATTTTTCTTATGAATAAGTTATTGTTACTTTGAAAATTAATTGACATCTTGTGACATTATGCGACTTTAAACATGAGAGTACACTACATTAGTGCTATAAGTGAATAAAAACATAATTTCTCTATTTTAAAATTTCCAAATATTTTACTTTTTTGGCAACCCTAAATATTGAGAGTTCATTCTTGTATACACTTTTATACCCATCTTATACGCACCATGTCTGTGGGAGTTTTTTTTCTCTGTGAATCCGATTCACAAACAAAATAATTTGCATAGACATATTTTGTCTGTGATAGGAATTCACAGACAAAAAAACTTCTCACAAACATGATAGTACAAAAGTGGGTATAGTAATGGGTATTGGGTACAAAGCCAAATATTTTACTTCTATTTACAATTCCTTTTGTTTTGTTCAGGTGTACCATTCTTTTTTGTGCTATCGGTATATTGGATGGAGGTAGCTGGCATTTGTGAATCATCATTATCCAAAATGAAAAATTGATCATCTTCTCCCCGCGGTACATATACTCCAAGTCTGAACTTCCTCACTTAAGAACAGTCAAGATATCGATCATCATTTCTCTCTATTCTGCCGTTGTAATAATCCAATAAAATGCACAAGTTATTCTCTGTCAAGTCCTTCGCCTCTTCGTTAATTAAAAATCGGACCCGGCATCAGCTATCAGCTCCTTTCTCTACTTCTCTGCTCTTCGATGATACTCAGATACAGGTCATTTCTGCATCAATTTCTTTCTGATTATAGCGTTTGTTGCTCCAATGGGAGCTTGTATATTTAATTATTTATTTATTTTCCTGATTTCAGTTCAAGGAAAGTGTTGCTCAGTTTGCTCAAGAACATGTAGCTCCTCACGCGGAAAAAATCGATAAGACTAATTATTTTCCGCAGGTTGTTTCAAAACATTTACAAATCTCTGGATTTTAAGGAGATTTTATTTTGATTGCATGTATCTTTTTGAATTTTCAGGATGTAAATTTATGGAAATTGATGGGTGATTTCAACCTTCATGGAATTACGGCTCCAGGTACAACTTTTCATTATTGAACTATTAATAGTTCTCTCAAATTGTTGGGGGAACTTTTAGGATACCCTGCTGCCATGTGTGAGGGAATGAAGGAATGAATGAATTGAGATACATGACGGATTGGGATTGCTTTTTTGTACTAGTATTATACTATCGTATATTATGAGCCCGTTTGGTAGCACGAAAATCGGCTGTTTTGGCTGATTGTGCTGAAATTTATGAAGTTGTGGCTGAAGTGGCTGCATTGGCTGATTCTGCTGATTTAAGAAAAAATTATTTTTAAAATATATTTTATTAATAAAATAAAGAAAAAATTATATGTAAAAATAACTAAAATGATCATCTACAGTAACTTCAGTCAATACAGCCAGAAAAGTAACTCCAACCTTACTTTTCTGCTTATTACACTATTCAGCACGCGAAAATAAAAATTACGTGTTTGGTGCAAAAGTTGGCCGATAAGCCTGATAAGCCAAAAAACACATTCTAAGATTGAAAATGTTGATCCACGAGATAAATTACGATTCCAGAAAAAATAACACATCAATATTGATTTTAATGTGCATCTCTATGGTGTATTTGTATGAGAGCCTTGCCGATCTAATATCCATGACTCTACCTAATTAATCCAAATCCGTCAGTTATGAGCTAAAATCATCTGATTAATCATCAATTTTTTTTAACATATTTGATGATTAAATTACTACGTAGTTTCATGTTTTTTAACCATCTGTATTTTATGTAGAGGAATATGGAGGACTTGGCCTTGGATATTTATATCATTGTATAGCTATGGAAGAAATTAGTCGTGCCTCTGGATCGGTTGGCCTTTCATATGGTGCACATTCTAATCTGTGCATTAATCAGTTGGTAAAAAATATTAACTCTAACTGACATTTTACTAAAAAAAATTGTATCAAGTCCCCAGTCTTCTATTAATATTTAAGATTTTGTAGGTGAGGAATGCAAATCCTGATCAAAAGCAAAAGTATCTCCCAAAGGTCTCAAAAGCTAGATTTTTAATCTCTTACTTGTCTTCTGTTCATCCTGTAGTTTTATGCATGCATATGATACTGTTCATCATGTGATTCATCTTTTCCCCTCATTTTTTCTTGTTCTTTTTACCCTTTTATGCTTATATATATAAACATTATTTTTATCCTTTTCATTTTATCATTTTTAGGTATATTCATCTCTTTTTATATTATCTTTTCCATAATAGCTTATCTTTTTTATCTTTATTTTCTTTCTCTTCCTTTTGGTGGTGATATCATGTATCGATTCATGTTAGCCGACCCCAATATCTTTTGGGACTAAGACTTGGATGTTGTAGTGACTTGCAAACTAGATTCACAAAATCTAGATAGTTTTGTGGAGTTGTAGAAATAGAGCCAGACTAATTGTGGTTTACTGTACTTCTGGAGATATGTGGCTTACTGTTTGAACCACATAGTTAAACAATGAAAATCATGACTTTGATATCGATTGAAGCAACTTTGCTGGGAAAAAATTAAAGCTGAAATTTAAGAAACCAAAAGAAATAATGGAATTATGTCTCTTTGACTGTTTTTGATGTTAATCATGTTATGAGCATTACTAAATAAGAGTTCATGATCAAATGTCTATGTACATTTGCTAAATTAGTTTGATACTTATTAGTAAAAACTTCTTATAGGTTGCTATTAGTTGTTGGGCTAACATATTTTTTTTGTATTATTACAATTAGTTTTTCATATAAAGTAAATGATGATATTACTTATTTGATGAATATGTGAAATATTGTTCACAGTCTAAGTGTTTCACTATCTTGGTTTGGTGAAGCTGATAAGTGGTGAGCATGTTGGGGCTCTTGCTATGAGTGAACCCAATGGTACGTTTCCCTAAAACTTCATTTACTCAACGATTGTTTATCACTATTTGAAATTTTGAATTATTTTTAAATTGTTACAGAGGTTTTTCAGATCAAGGTTTTCTTTTATTTGACAAATAAGAAATTGTTTCCAATTAATATGGTTCCCTTTTCAGCTGGATCAGATGTTGTTAGCATGAAATGCAGAGCTGATCGTGTTGATGGGGGTTATGTTCTGAATGGGAATAAGATGTGGTGTACCAATGGTCCTGTGGCACAAACACTGGTATTATTCCTCAGTCTTCACCACTAACATGCTTAAATATAGCTTTCTTACATTATTCAGGATTTGGAGCTCAATAGAACCTATTATCAGCCATATGCACACGCACTTACAGACATAGAAAGTGAGAGACAGATATTATTGCACTAATTTGATCTCTAGTGGGCTACATCTTTGGGTTTATACCATTTATTGGGTTTATCCCTCAAAATGGCTTGCTTTAGGTGGTCTAAATTATTTTGATGAATTAACCTTTGGTTTGCTGCTGCATGACTAAATTATTTTAAGTATATCTTTAGGTGGTCTAAATTTTTGTATTACTGGTGCTTCGGCTAGTCATCGTCATCTTGTTGTTCTTTCAGTACTACAAATTAGTGAAATTACATTATTGATGACATTGGTAAATTACCATGGATAGGTTGTTTACGCTAAAACAGATATTGCTGCTCGCTCAAAAGGAATCACTGCGTTTATCATTGAGAAGGGAATGGCAGGGTATGCACTTTATATTTGATACGAGTAATTTCGATGAAATGATATGGGCCATCATTGGTTAAAAGAAAATACTACATTTGGCGTTTGTGTCACTGCTTCAGTTGAGAAGATAAAAAGAAAATGATACACATGCATATGCTTATATAAGAAATTTCAAAAGGAAATCAAGTTGAATTACTTCACAATTATGCTGTGAAGACGGAATTGACATTTTAAAGATAATTGAATGACCGAATTGCACCAAATTTACAATGGGACTAAATGCATGACCAAGAACAAATTAGGGGCCAAAATAGTGATTCTTATGCTTCAGTATGAACCGCTATGACTTATTGTTCCATTACATATTTTTATGTATATGTATATGTATCTAACGAAGTCATATCTAATAACCATATACCATGCACTAAGAGCTTGTGCAGCGCATTCTTGTTTGTTTGCTTGCTTGGTTGCTTGGTTGGTTTTACACATTTTTTCTTGTTTTTTGCAGTTTCAGTACTGCCCAGAAACTAGACAAGCTTGGGATGAGAGGAAGTGATACGTATCTGTGTTTTGCCTCTACCAGTGTATATGCATTTATTCAATCTGTGTGCAAATTGGAAAATGAACTAACATTTGGACCATGAACCTTGCAGATGTGAACTTGTGTTTGAAAATTGCTTCGTTCCTGAAGAGAATGTGCTGGGGCAGGAAGGGAAAGGTATTGTCCCTTCCAAGTAATTCTCATTTTAGTTTAATGTTAAAAAGTAGTTCCTCCGTTGAGTCCGTTCCATAAAAGGAGTCTTTTTTAATAAGATCTTTTTGTTGAAAAAGGTCATATTTCATCAAAAGGAACTAGTTTTCATGTGATTACATTACTTTTAACAATTGCACCTTCCAAAAGTTGTACCTTGACCAAACAGGACTGTATTATTGGGAGAGAGATAATTCATTCAGGTTTCATTAGCATTTACTTAGATCATACCTCAATTGATAGGGAAATGTGAACCGCTATAACAAAGTACAATTTAACATGTGCATATGATTAGTTAGTGTCACGTTTAGAAACATATAGCTCTGGTGAAGTTTTTACACAGTGGGCATATTTGATATACATACACATTGGAGTACATGGAACATAAGCTTCTTTAGGGCTTGTTTGGTTGGAGATATTGGAGGGGAATCTTGATTTTTTCTTCTACTCATTTATCTCTATTTCTTATTTTTAGACTATAGAGTAGTACAACCATCCCAAGAAAAAAATCGTTTTAAGGTACAACATTTTAGTTTTGGACTTTTGGCAAGTACAAACTATGGTATATCATATATCCTATTTGTATTTCTAAATATATTTGTTTCTTGAACTATATTAGCATAATTAACTTCTTGGAAACACCTTTTTTTATTTAGAAACTTGCATCCGATCAAAAAATTAGCTTCTTCTGTTGAAGTATCCCCCCTCCCGAAATCCCCAATTAAAGGACTTAATGTTTAACGGCATGGCATGTGTACTTCTTCAGGAGTTTATGTTATGATGTCGGGCCTAGATTTGGAAAGACTTGTGCTAGCAGCTGGGCCTATTGGGATCATGCAGGCTTGTCTTGATGTGGCACTTCCATATGTCCGCCAGAGGGAGCAATTTGGCAAGCCTATCGGTGAACATCAATTTATACAGGGGAAAGTTGCTGACATGTATACTGCCCTACAGTCCTCAAGGTAATGTAGTTCCTCCTACTACTCTTGCTAATTTAATCTCCATAATTTTGTTTATAGGTGAAAGAAAGATTCAGCTCTTAAATTAACTTAAATTCTCTCTCTACTTGTATAATTGTGTAGGTCATATGTCTACTCTGTTGCTAGGGATTGTGACAATGGGAAGGTTGATCCAAAGGTTTGATCCTTTGTTCTATTACCATTTTAGCCTGTTATCATCATCATCATCATCATTATCATCATTATTATTATTTGGAATTCTTAGTAGTTATCCTTCATTATTATTATTTGATCAAATATTGAAGGTTCGAAATGATTAAAAAACGGTCATATGGTTCTAGTTCATTTGTATCAAAATGAACTAGAACCAAACGGAAAATGAAGGTTGATCAAATAAATATCTTCGAAATTAAAAAATGAAAATAAAGTAACAAAGAAACAAAATTCGAAAATAAGAGAAAATTCTAAATTTGTTCGTTAATTTTAATGTTGTATGAATGGTATCCAGGATTGCGCAGGTGTGATTCTATGTGCAGCTGAAAGAGCTACTCAAGTCGCTCTTCAGGTAAGAATTAAGGAATCCCAGTGGATTCTTTTTAAGGCATTTTACGTACAAGAATGTCATGCTTAGTTTGGTGTTAAGCTTATTCCGTGTTTGTTTGCAGGCAATACAGTGTCTTGGGGGTAATGGGTATGTGAATGAGTATCCAACCGGGCGTCTCCTTCGGGATGCAAAACTGTATGAAATAGGGGCTGGCACCAGTGAGATCAGAAGAATGATTATTGGGCGGGAGCTGTTTAACAAAGAGTAGCTAATTAATTAAACATTTGCCTGGTTGGTTGTGCACAAACAAGTGAAGCAACTACCAAAGATTATATATTGTTACTAAAAAGTAGAACAATTTAAGAATAACAATTATGTCATGAGCTTGCTTGTGATATGATAGTTATTACAGTGTATTTTTTCACATGGGCAAAGTGAGATGATATTTAACCAAAACAGGTGGATGGATAATCAAATGAGCTTATTTTACTCTTACTTGTTGTTTTTCTTGAAATAAAGACAAATATATGGTCAAATTAAAAAATAGTAAACAAAAAAATATAACATTTTATACTTTAGTGACTATATTAATAAATTTATTTATTGTGATCATGTTTAATTTGTACAATAATGATTGTGATGGTATATTTATAGCAAGTTTAGTACTCTCTTCGTCGTCCGGTTAAGATTGTCTCATCTTTCTTTTTTGGTCGATTCCGTTAAGATTATCTTATACTCCGTACTAAATTTGGTTAAATTTGTGCGATTTTAAATCATTTTTACTTTATTCTTAGTTTATCAATTCAATATCAAACACATAATCACATTTTTCTTAATAATCTTTTTTCTTTTATTTCAGTAAGTCTTAAAATAATTGTTTGAAGCTTTGAACCTATCTTCTTGTATTTTTTCATATATTCCTTTGTTACCTTCCTACTTTCTAGGTCCTGGGATTTGTATTTTGTACCAAACAACAGACTCTTGAGAATAATATAGTGTTATTAATTATTCTTTTATACGGAGTACATTCTATCATAAACAAATTTGAGTAGTGTCGAGTTTTGCAGCACTAATATGAAAACAATTAGACAAATTGAAAAACCTACATTGACTATTTTTTGGCCACATATCTTTCGGTGTTAAAGCGCTGAATATGTTGCCTTGGGCACTTGGACCTTTTGAATGTTCACGTGTTACCCAATGCAAGACTATCAATTATCAAAGAAGTATTGGACTTGGAAACGATATGCGAAGAAGACATGTAGATATAGCAGACTAAGGGAATGTTTGGATCCGATTCTTAAAACTGCTTCTGCTTCTTTAGTGAGCAGAAGCAGAAGTTGGAGTGTTTGGGTGAAAGTGCAGAAGTGGTTCTGGTACTCTAATATATATACATATACTTCTAGAATCAGATTTTTTAGAAACTAGGGGATCAGCTTCTGAAAAACCGATTCTAATTCTGCTTCTGCTTTAAAAAAAAAGCATAAGCAGAATCAGTTCCAAACACCCCCTAAGATTTCTCTCGAAACAATGGCATCATTTCTGTAGGGATCAAATAAGGGGTCTCTATAACACCCACAAAGTCACAACCTCAAGACAATCAACTAAATGAGCAACCCAAACTGACACACAACCAATTACCACACAAAACCAGCACAATTGTAGAATATAAAGCACAACAAAGAGCGGAAATAAAGCACACGGAGCACACAAGATTTTTTTACGTGGAAAACCCTTCAATGTGAAGGATAAAAAACCACGGGACCTCTTGAGGAGTCCACCCTTAATTCTCTTATTGATAAATGAGGGTAAAAGAACCCCAAATCAGTCTACAAAGGATTCACAGCCCACCAACAATCACCAATAACAATAAGAGATTGAAATAGCACAATAAGGTGTAGAAATCACCCAAAAACTGCAGGTCTGTTCGTGCAGTGATTCTGACCAAACCAGTGCTCAACTGAACAATCCGACCGTTCAAAATGAAGCCCTTGAAGTCACGAACAAGCTGTCCAAATTTCAGCAAAATCCGATCATGGGAAGACCTCCGATCGACGATCTGAACAAAGCAGTGTACTGCAGGTCGAAAATCCGAAAATCTGTCCCCAAAACTTCTGTTTTGCTTGTGTGCTTCTCACAGACTTCTCAGCCTTCCCAACCTGATATTTTTCAGCAAGTTGGACTCTAAAAACATGTTTTAGAAGCCCAAAATTCAATATCAAATGGACCCAAAATATAGGACATAAAAAATCTTCAAACAAGGCCCAAAACATAAACAACAAAAGCAATATAAGATATTGCAAATATGGGCTGGACCCATAACAATCTCCCCCTCCAGCCCAACACGGGGAAGACGAACACTCTTCAATCACCACTTGAAGCTCATCCCTGCAAGCTTGCCACAAATATCAAGCTTGCTTCCTGGAACCACCTTAGTTAGCATGTCCGCACCGTTTTTGTTTGTATGAACTTTCTTCAGTTTCATCAACTTTTCTTCAATCACATTCCGCAACCAATGATACCGAACATCAATATGTTTGGTTCGAGCATGATACATGGAATTCTTGCTCAAATCTAAAGCACTCTGACTATCACAGAATATTACATACTCACCTTGCTCCAAACCCAATTCTTGAAGGAACCTCTTCAACCAAAGCATTTCCTTACTTGCTTCCACAGCTGCTATATATTCAGCCTCAGTAGTCGACAAAGCCACACATTTTTGTAATTTAGATTGCCATGAAATGGCTCCCCCTGAAAGTGTGAACACATAACCTGAGGTAGATTTTCTACTGTCAAGATCACCAGCCATGTCTGCATCTGTATACCCCTCAAGAACTAGTTTGCCACCTCCATAACACAAACAAAGTTTGGAAGTGCCACGCAAGTATCTGAAGATCCACTTCACTGCATCCCAATGTACCTTACCCGGATTAGATAAGTATCTGCTCACCAAACCAACAGAATGTGCAATATCGGGTCTTGTACACACCATAGCATACATCAAAGAACCAACAGCAGAAGAATAAGGAATATTGGACATACTTGCTTTCTCCTTCTCTGTTGTAGGACAAGCTCTCTTACTAAGGTTAAAATGTGATGCGAGTGGTGTACTAACCGGCTTGGCTTGCTTCATATTGAACCTTTGAAGCACACGTTCAATATACTTTTCTTGAGAAAGCCCAACTTTCTAGCCTTCCGGTCACGAGCAATCTCCATGCCTAAGATTTGCTTTGCAGGACCCAAATCTTTCATATCAAATGACTTGGACAAATCTTTCTTCAAGTTGTCAATCATCACTGAATCTTGCCCAACTACCAGCATATCATCTACATACAAAAGAAGGATAATGAAGTTGCCACCAGGGAACTTTCTGAAATACACACAAGGATCTGCAAAAGTCCGTTTATAACCATTGCTTGTCATAAACGAATCAAATTTCCGATACCACTGCCTTGGTGCCTGTTTAAGCCCATAAAGACTCTTCTTCAACTTGCAAACAAGTTTCTCTTTCCCCTTTTCTTCAAATCCTTCATGTTGCTCATGTAGATCTCTTCATGCAAGTCACCATGTAGAAAAGCAGTTTTTACATCAAGCTGCTCTAACTCAAGATCAAGACTTGCGCCTACTGCTAAAACAGTTCTAATAGAAGTCATCTTGACAACAGGAGAGAAGATTTCATCAAAATCAATGCCCTTTTTCTGGTTGCATCCTTTGACCACCAATCGAGCTTTCCGCTTCACTATCTTCTCACCATCTTTCTTATTCTTGAAAACCCATCTGTTTTTCAAGACTTTCTTGCCTCTGGGAAGATTCACTAACTCATAAGTATTGTTTTTCTTCAAAGAATCCATCTCCTCTTTCATAGCCTCAAGCCAAAGATCTTTTTCTTCACTAGTCAACACTTCTTGAAAACTCTCAGGCTCCCCCTCGTCCGTAACTAAGATGTAGTCTGTGCTTGGATATTTTGTAGAAGGTTTACGATCTCTCGTTGACCTCCTAATCAGAACATCATCATCTGGCGGGGTATTTTGCTCCCCCTGCTCATGAACCTCTTCATTATTTGCTTGAGCATCATTAGGAGCATCATCAAACGGTGGTACATCACCATCATCATCATCATCGGGTTGCATATCCTCAACACCATCATGTGGTGTATCAAGATCATCATATGATGGCTGTTCAACAGAAACAGAAGTAGGAACAGAAGAAACATCAGTAGTATCAACAAAAGAATCAGAGTAAGTATGATACCTGACACCCAAAAGTTCTGCTCCCTTCTCGTGCTCGAAGAACACGACATCTCTACTTCTCACTACCTTCTGCTTCTCAGGATCATAGAGCCTAAACCCGTACTCTGCATCACCATAGCCAACAGACACACATGGAGTAGTCTTGGAATCAAGCTTCAGCCTTTGATCTTTCGGCACATGCATATAAGCCTTACATCCAAAGACTCTAAGATGTGAATATGTGGGATCACATCCCTTCCAAGCTCTCTCTGGAATGTCAAGACCCAAAGGAATAGATGGAGAACGGTTAATCAAGTAAACAGCAGTGTTCACTGCCTCTGCCTAAAATGACTTAGGTAGATCAGACATCTTCAACATACACCTCACTTTCTCCACAATGGTTCTGTTCATCCTCTCTGCAACACCATTATGTTGTGGAGTGCCAGGAATTGTCTTCACATGTCGAATGCCATGCTGTGAACAATAATTCTTGAACTCATGTGAAGTATACTCACCACCATTGTCAGAACGAAGGCTCTTTAGTTTTCTTTCCGTCTCCCTTTCCACCATAGCATGAAATTTCTGAAATGTCTCAAACACTTGGCTCTTGGTCTTCAACATGTAAACCCAAGTTTTTCTGGTAGCATCATCAATGAAAGTGACAAAGTATTTGCTGCCACCATTAGACTCTACCTCAATGGGACCACAAACATCGGAGTGTACAAGCTCTAGCTTAGCTTGCCTCTTAGTAGACTTCCTGGCAAAAGAAGCTCTATGCTGCTTACCTGCCAAACAATGATCACAAAGGTCAAGAGCAACTGCAGTATCAATGGGAATAAGAGATTTACCTGCAAGACATTTCAACCCCTTATCACTCATGTGTCCCAATCTTCGGTGCCATAAGTTAGGAGAATTCTTCTCTTCTACAGCATTGAGTTCACCAGAACATACAGTCAAATATGTCTTGTACAAAGAGCAACACAACTCGCCTCGTGCAACTGTCATAGAACCCTTAGACAATTTCCACTTGCCATCTCCAAAAGTGTGTTTGAAACCTTCTTGATCAAGAACATTAGCAGATAGCAAATTAAGGCGTAGATCAGGAATATGTCGCACACCTTTCAATGTAAGTATGCATCCGACACTAGTCTTCACACGAATATCACCTAATCCAACAATACTTGCTGAACTCTGGTTACCCATCTTAACACTACTAAAATCACCAGCTTGGTAGGTCATGAAGTAGTCTCTTCTGGGAACACAATGGTATGAAGCACCGGTATCTAC